TGTTACCCAATCAACAAGTTATTTTGAAAAAGAATGAGAAAACGATTCTCCATAGTTTCTCATTCAATCTTTTCTGAAAATGAAATTGTTGAATAGTAAGAAAACGATTTTCATAGTTTCTTACTTAGTAAATTGTTTCCCATATCTGTAAGTCCTACAGTGCATGATGTTTCCAAAAAGCCTTCAGGAGCTTTTTGATGTTTTCAAAGCCTTAGGGCCATTTGTGAGTCCTATAGTGCATGGTATTTTTAGGACCTCTGGAATGATGTTTTCAACATTTCAGTCTTACTCAAAAGAAGAAAAATGAAAAAAAAATTATTGTTTTTCCGTCTTTGCTCTATTCTTGTTAACACAAGAATAAGCAAAGAGTGGCAGCTGTAAACACTAATTTTTTTTTCATTTTGTTTTTATTATTATTATTAAAATTATTATTATTATTAATATTATATATATTATTATATTATATTATTATTAAATTATTATTACAAACATGCCAAAATCGGGGCCTAATTACAAATCTGGAAGCCCAACCAGATAGCCTAACTAAAACCCTAAACCAATTTAGGGTTTCAGCTAGGATTTCTAAACCCTAACACTTCAGCCGCCAATGATCCAGAATCCTCCACGCCGCCACCGCACTTGCTTCCAAATGCTCCAACCAGCTGTCGCCGACGCCCACTGCCACGACTCCACCCTAGCCGAGGACTTCAAAAGCTCTGCTGCCACGACAACGTCCGTCCACGTTGAAGCTATTATGGTGAGTCACCACATAGTTCGGTGACTCACCGAAATCAACCCTTGGGACCGGTCCGAGAGCCGCACCGGTAAAGGCTATAAAGCCTCAACTTACCTGTAAGCAAAAAAAAACACAACAGAGGGCCACAGCAGAAGACAACGAACGGAGAACAAAAACAACGAGTAAACAAAGAGCAATAAACAAACACCCACATCCAACAGTAAGCCAAAACCAGAAAACAAAGAGAGAAAAGCCGAGATATTTACCTCATCGGAGCCTCCCTACGCCGTTGAAACCAAAACATCGGAGGTAGATCTACGTGTTTTGGTAAGATTTTAGGCTAAAATAACTTTAGATTTGAGTATAGAAAAATAGAGGCTTCGATTTGGGTGGGTTTTGTAATTTTCGACCACCGGATACGGCGGTCGGCGGCGGACAGCGGAGGCGAACGGCTGCCGGCCGGTGCCACTTCTCTCGTTTTAGAGAGAAGCCAGAGAGAACTCTGGCTCTCTCAATTTAGAGAGAGAAGAGAGAAAGAAAAATGAGAGAGCTGGCCCTTCGGGCCAGCCAGTTTCTGGTATTTATACCCCTTCCCAAACGACGCCGTTTTGGGAGGGGTATATCTGTAATTTTGCGCATGGCCAAACCTTTTCCGCAGCCATCCGAGTTTTGTAATTATTCATTTTAGTCACTGAAACTAACTTCTGAACATTCTAATTCAGTCTTCAAATTTTATTTTATTATGTTTTAGTCCTTACCAGTATTAAATAATATATTTAGGATAAATATCACATTTAGTCCATCATAATTTTATAAATTTTATTTTAGCCCTGAATAAATAATTAAGGTTAAATTAAACTATTAGGATATGAGTTTCCTAATATTTCGAATTTGATCTTTTTTTCAATACTTTATATTTTGATCATATAATTTTAATTGTTTTTATTACATTACAATTTTATTGTTATTAGTAATTATTATTATTATTTTAATCATATTAATATTTATTATTTGATTAATTTTATAAAAAAAAAATCATAATAGTATTTATTTATTTTTTTAATATCAAAAAAAGGGGCAGTCTTAAAACAACTAGATGTCTTTTTTCTGATATTTTTAAATAAATAAATATTTTACTTTTATAAAATTGTATATATTAATCTATTTTTTTATTATGAGATAAATGTTTTAATATTTATTTATTTTTAATATCAAAGGAAAGAGCTGTCTTAAAGCACCTAGAAGTCTTTTTCTGATATTTTTAAATAAATAAATATCTTATTTATATAAATTAATAAATTTACTTAAAATTATAGTAATAAATTTAAATTAAATAGGATTATAAATTAAATATATCTTTGAATTTTTAATTTCTAATAATAGAGACAATTTATAATTAAAAAGTACCAATTTTGGGCGTTGTAGGGGTATTAATCCTTCTCTAAACGTAACCGACCACAAATCTTTTTTTATTATTAAAAAGAACGAATTTTTGGTTAAAACGCAGATCAGTTTATCTTTTAATCGATGTTTTCTTAAAAATTCTTTTAAAGGATAATTTTTAGGTATTCGACTTACCTGACCCAAAAGGCCGATGGCGACTCCCAATTTATTTTAAAGAAAAAATCATTTATTCACATTATTTTTTCCGCCAAGTAAAAAATTCGTGCCCGGACGAAAACCGGTTACGACACAGTTCTAAAGCAAAAAACTCCCAGAATAATCATTTACCTGTAAGTACTTGCTAACAGCAAACACGTAAGGGAAAGAAGCTTGCACTGAAGGGGATACAGACGCATTGTTGAAGGTCTATGTCAAAACAACACAGTTTTAGTTGCATAATCTACAGGCAAATGTAACAAGGCAGTTTCAATCCAGCAACATAAACCGTAAAACTCATATATAGCAGGTGCGTTATCAACTTTTTAGCACTAAAGAAGCTTAAAATCCTTTTCAAATGATGCAACAAGCATTTTATAGGGTTTAGGGTAAAGTTACAAAAGAGAAAAAAATCCAAAAACTTAACCACAGAATAGTCAAAAATCCAAAGTCAACATTATTGACACACTATCTGCCATCGTTTCTTAAGACTAATCTAAAATTTAAATGCAGGTTCAACATTCATCCTTCAAATTAATTAGCCTCAGCAAAAATCAACTCCACTATCACTGTTATAGCTCATTAAAGTAGGTAAGAAGTAGCAGGGGGACACAAAATAATTAGTCAATCTACAAAACTCATATCATTAGCCACATGTTTGATGATGGATATTTAAGACATTCAATAAAGATAACACAAGCAAGAAGGTTCGCATGATTGACTCAATGCCTTCTAACCATAAATAACAATAAATGCTTAATCTAACTTATAAAAACTAAAAGGCAAGATATTCAATAATATAAAGTTTTTAAGTTATATAATTAAAGAAACTAATCAAAATGAACACTGAGGGAGCTAATGATGCATGGGTTTTTTAAAATAATACAAGAAAAATATTATGAAAACCTATGCATACCTGAGCTGTAAGATTTTGAACATGCATTCGATGATCATAAGGGAGATGAACACTGGCTTGGATTGCGATAATATTAAAGGTGACCCCCCTGCAGTTCAAAAAAGTAAGCTAAGCATAAGAGAGGACCGGCATGGCTAATGAAAAAGTGGAAGTATTTAACTCTAGCTAATGAAGCACAGATAAATTGACCTAATTCAGAACATATTATCAAATTGCATTGTGAAAAGAGACAGTGAAGTTGTGAAGACAAACTAATTACCAACATTTTCGATCCCTACTAAAAGTCCAGTCTCTTCTCCAGCCACAACCACTGTCCAAGAGAGAAGAAAATTGAAGAGAGTTAACCATTACCAATCAAATAGAAATGTACTTCACTCACAAAATCATACAACATCAAAATGTTCTTACATTTTGCGCTATTTTGGGGGAAACCGCATACAGTTTCAACTCCCGGAGCTGGGCCTAAGCTCTCACCACCAAAATCTGGAACATCCTGACCAATAATCCCAAGATCCCCTCCATCAACAGCTTCTGCAACATCTACCTCTGTTTCTGATTGACACCTAGCGACTATCACAAAAATGGAAAAATTCATGTCTGTGTCACAGCATATTTTAAAACATTGTTGGCAGTTTATTTATCTCTCAACAAAAGGTAAAGAAAAATAATGTAACAAACAAATTCAACCGGGGAAATACAACTTCAAGAATGTTACAGAAAAGTGCATAAAAGTAGCTACAAGCATTTTCGCCAAAATAAAAAGGTACTCGACAAGGCTTTTTCGTTGCCTTTTCTTAGAGCAAAAAAAAGAAAGCTAAACTCAACTTTAAAAACCGCTAAAGTCACGGTACAAAAGGTATCAAATTATCGGAAGGATGCCTAAGCTTTTTCTTCTAAAATATCAAATAGAACTAAAATGTCAGGGACATGCAATGCAACTATGATTTAGAAAACAAAGAAATCACGTCAGATTCACACTACCGAATCATAAATCAAGAGAGAAGAAAATAAATTCACATTGATCTAACCGGAATTTTTTTTAAGAAAAAAAAAGCACTGAAAGAGAAGAATAGAATTGCAACTCATTTCAAAAGATCAAAACAACCGTACATAAGAATGCAAGACGAAAATTCAAAAGTAAGATCCAGATTCCGCAGAAAGCACATGAATCGGTAAGCACAAAAAGATAATCAATGTTGAATCAGAGAGAATAGATTTAGATCTGAAAACAGTTTACAGACCTTGAAAAAGAGGAGAGGCGGCGAGGAGTAACGCAAAGAAGAAACCCTGGAACTTTTCATAGCCATATTTGAGAGTTTCATATTTCGTTAAGGAAAAGAAAACGATAGTAGTAGTAGTAGTAAAAGAAGAAATGAATTATACGAAATTATAAAATTGAAGGTAATGAGTTTCCGCCCTCGAGCTTGGCAAGAAAATCAATAATTATGTTTGTTTCTTGTCTAATAAGCCTAAAATCAATGTCAATATCTATTAAATAAATCGAAAATATTTCAACGAAAAAAGTGATGAAGCTCGGAAAATCATCTTAAAAAGATCATTCAAAATAGTTAAAGTTTAGTCGATCATTCAAAATATGACGTAGGATACGCATATAATTTTTAAAAGAAAATTATAAAAATGTTTTTTTATTATAATAAATCCATGATATTAATGAATAATTCAGAATAATTAAATGATAAAAAAAGAACAAAATCCTATTAAAAAGGTCAAATTAGTGTTTCCCATCTATTTTCCCGTGGGTCGCAAAACGATGGAATCTCTGGTTTACGAAGCACGATAGGCTTGTTGCGCTTCTGCGTGGATTTCCAACCAACAAAGTCAAAATAAGAACCAAAATCATACCTTTAGATGTGAATTTGTGAAGCTTCTGTTCAATCTCGAAATCATGGATAAACTCACAAGCGATGCTGCTTTTGTTCAATCCGTTCCAGCTTCTAACTCAAATCCTTCAATCATCGAGTTCCGTCAACCCCCCATCGATCCACGCCTTCCCTCTACCGTCCGCACCCAAACCAAATCCAGGTTAGGTTTTTCTTAACCCCGTTTTCAGAATTTCAACTTTCCACAACTATTTTTTGGGGGTTTTAATTTAACAGATTGTATTTCATTGATTTCATGTTTTCTTTTTGTTGGCAGCCAAAGGGTTGAAGGGGAACCCAAGGATTGTACCGCGGCGAGAAAACTTCAAAAGGCTGACCGTGAGAAACTAAGAAGGGATCGTCTCAATGAACACTTCCTTGAGTTGGGAAGTGCACTCGGTACATTTATAGTCCCTCCAGAAAAGTTTTTTTGGTACTAATTTAAGAAATTGGGCGCCTGCATAATTTGGTCTCTACAGTTTGATTTGAAGCTATGGTTTTTATATGCATACGCTTATTAGTACTAAGGTTGAGATTTTTGAGCTTTAATTCATTGATGCACGTGAAATTTGATTGGAAAACTGCTACTAATTGCTTCTAAGTTTTTTGCACGATAAAAAATTGTTTCTTTTCCTTTTCTTTTTCTGGTATTATTGGTGGAAGTCATTGTTCATATTTGTGTAAACAAGAGTTTGATCATATTAGTATTTAGTACAGTTGTAGTTGTTTTATTGTTATTTTTCCCACAGAATTCTGAAGGGTGATGCTTATTTGTTTGCACAATCCAGATCCTGATAGGCCTAAAAATGACAAGGCAACCATCCTTACGGATACGATTCAATTGCTGAAGGACCTTGCATCTCAGGTCACCAAGCTGAAATCAGAGTATACTACACTGACTGAAGAATCTCGAGAGGTCGTCCCAGCCTGTCTGACTTTATTTATGGTTTTTAGATTTGCAAACCTTCTGATAGGGATTTTACATGGTTCATGGTTGTTTCTTTCTTTTGAAGCAGTTGACCCAGGAGAAGAATGACCTCAAAGAAGAGAAGGCATCTCTTAAATTTGATATCGAGAATCTTAATAATCAGTATCAGCAAAGAGTCGGGACTATGTATCCATGGGGGGCTGTAGATCACTCGGTTGTCATGGCCTCTCCTTATCCATATCCAGTACCAATGGCAATGCCTCCACCAGGAGCCATTCTTATGCATCCATCCTTGCAGCCATTCCCTTTCTTTGGGAATCAAAATCCCGGGATCATTCATAACCCGTGCTCCACTTTTGTCCCATATATGACTCCTAATACTATGGTTGAACAGCAGTCAGCACAACCTGTTGCTCCAGCTGCACAACCAAGCAGCCATTCCCATGCTTCCGGCAAACAAGATTCGAAAAACAAGTTCTCAGGGGAGAGCAAGGCTGAAAAGACTGTGGATTCAAATGGTGTTGCTACTGAGCTTGAGTTAAAAACACCTGGTTCTACGCCAGATCAGGTTAGTTTTTGCTTTGTAGCTGTCACAGCGTGTATTTTCGTTATGATTTAACTTATAACATATTCATTTGAGTGCATGGCTGACTTAACGGTGTATCCGCAGGACTTATCATCAGGGCAAAAAAAGATGAATAAATCTTTAAAGAAAGACGACAATACTACAGAGGGCAGTTATTCAAGTAGGTGCTCTTCATCTTATAGTGTACTGGATAGCTCATCCAATAGTATAGTGAGTGGCACAAAGCCTGATGATGTAGATGGGTAAAACGATCGACAAATGCCCGTGTCAGGTTGTTTGCAACTTCTGCTCATGTTTTCCTTTTATTCTATGCTCTAATAGTTCCTAATTTCTCCTCCACTTTAGAATCTAATTGTTTTCCCACAAATTTAATCACTGGAAAATGGAAATTGCTGTTATGAAGTAGTTCTAGGCTGGGTTTGTCCTGGATTCTATGGGTTAGAATTTCGGTGGAACTGATGAACAATGTAGGAGGTGATGGCTTTGTAGAGTTGATTTTTATGTAGTAAAGTTTGCACTTTAGACAGTCTAATTGTGTCTCAAATATTTCAAAAGTGGAAGAAAGTAATTTTTCTCTCATAGCTTGGTATCCTAGTAGAAAAATTGACGAACACCTAGATTGCTGGAAATGCTGGTGTGTAATGTAGACCATTGCTCTGTAATATGAAAATTCATTTGTTCCGTGCTACAAAGTATGATCTAGCCATGTTGGATATTTTATGCTAGCTTTGTGTATAGCAATATTATGCATGGTATATACCATATCATCAACACTCCATATGTATTTAATTGACAATGATACATTATATATCAACTTAACAAAATTGATGGCATATGTTAAATCATCAGAAATGATTACGTGATATATATCATGTCATCAGTTAGACATGTAAAAATATTATTTAGTAATAAGTGTTAATCGTTAGTCAATTAATTGTTTACATCTAAAAAACACTTTGATAAAAATATGAATTATTAAAGACAAATATTTTAAAAAAAGAATAAAATTTAAATTAATTATTCGGAGAAACACTAAGGATTTTAATGAAAAGTAAAATTGTTAAAGAAATGACGATTCTGTCTCTCGCGGCCCTTCCTTCGTGGTGGGCTGTCAAGGCTACTGGCGGTGTTTCCTCTCCCACGGTGTAGGTTTGGTATTTTGGTTTCCTTCTTTATGTGTTCTCTCGTCTTCTCGGGGTCAGTCTTTGTATTTCTATGGATGCATTTCTATTTCCGTCTGGTGTCATTGTGACCATGTATTTGTGCTGTCAGAATCTTATCTTTTTGTGGGCCCGTGCTAAATGGATGCATCTGGTTATCCATGTTTGCTCCTAACTGTTGGACATGGCTTGTTCTATCCTCTCGTGTGTTGCGGTGGGCACCGTTTGAGTGTCGTATATCGACGGTTGTATGGCATTGCCACATGCATCTTTGTCTCTTGCGACAGTTTGGTAGGGGTTGGCAAAGCGGTTATTGTATTAGATTGACAGTTTACGGCTTATTGGTTTTTGGTTTCTTTGCGATTTTTAGGGTCTGTTGTGCCTCCACTCGACTATTTTTGGCTCGTCTTTCTATTCTCTCTTGTTATTCGTTTTCTGGTTTTTCTTACTTCTATGGCAGACGATGGCCACCACATGCTTGCGAGCCTATGGTTCACTGTGGATAAAGTTGGTGATGTTCTCCCTGACTCCGCGATTTCATCTACGGATGAGTACATGAACTTGTGGCTAATTTGTTATCTTTTCTCTGCCGGACTTGTTGAGGTGGAGACTATTGCTCGTGTTTACCGCAGTATCTGGGGTCCTACCAGGTTTGATGCCAACAGGTTTGCTGATCTTCTGCTGTTTATGTCACCGATTTGGCTTCAGTTTAATCTATTCTTTATGAACATCGCGGGTGGCAGTTGGTTGCTTCCAACAAGGCCTTGCATTCGGCCGACATTCATGCATTATCAACTTCTGCTCTTGCTACTTCGTCTCGTTCTCTCTAATGATGGACCGCTGGTGCAAGCTTCCATCGGATGTTATAAAGATTAACATCGACGTTACATGTCCAATGCATTTTGGTTCGTCAGCAGTTGGTATTATCGTGCGTGACTCCAACAGTTTGGTTATTGCTGATCGTGTGGCTTATTTTCCAGGACTTTGCAAAATAGGAATACTTGAGGTTCAATATGTTTTATTGGGCTTCCGATTTGCGGTTAAATTGGGTTTCTCACATGCCATATTAGAAAGAGATTCGTCTACTGTAATTAGGGATGGTTAAAATACCTAAACTCGACGGGTTTCGACCCGGTTCGACCCTATAGAGATATTTTTTTATTTTCGGGGCTTGGGGTGGGTTATAAGGTAAAATATTTCGGGACGGGTTGAAGCCTGGTTTGAGGTGAAAAATCACTGATTCGATCCGACCCAGTTAATTTGTATTTATATATAATATATTTAATATCTTAAAAACCTTTATTTTTATATTATTAAAATATATTGTTTATTTATTGAAAATATAAAATCATTATAAAATATATTAATCTAATTATTTGAATATACTAAATAATTATAAATATATTATTATAAAATATATTATTTTAATTATTTTAAAATATTAATATATTCGGATCGGGTTGGGGTTTTAGTCTAAAAAATACGGAGCTTGAAAAATTTAAAATTTTTCAAGATGGGGTAAGGTCGGATATTAGACATTTTTGGGTCGGGGTTGGGGCGATACAAAAATTGGCCCTCCCTACCCCGTGTCCATCCCTAAATGTAGCGCGTCAATTGAAGCATCATCATGTAGATTATTCGATGTTCCGATTTTGCCTCGCGGAAGTTACACAGCTTCTGGATTCTCATCCGCATTTTAGCATTCGTTCTGTTCGCCACAATGCCAATGCGACTGCTAATGGCCTAGCTGAGTTTGGATCAGTTGCTTCTTCCTCGTTTTCCTTTGATTATGACCATCTTTCACGTATTTTCGATGTTGTTGTGACATACGTTATATTCGATTAATAAATACAAGTTCATTTTAAAATAAGGTAAATTTTAATAATATAAAACATATTTATATTTATATCATATATGTATATTTTTCATTTTTACTAGCAGTGAACAATTGAACCAATTGAACCAATTGAGGAAGACAAATGAGGAAGATATTTATTTGTAGTAGACCACATGTGACACATTGCCAGCTATGTCACGTACGCTAAGGTATATTCCTTTAGGAATTAAGGCATAAAACCCTAGAAACCCTCACTATAGAAAGGAAAGGACACCACATTTATGGTAGAATGGAAAATGTAAGATAAGATAGAAAAGTTAGAGGTGACTACTCTTCCTTCTTATCTTCTTCACAGTAGTGACCTCTATTGTTGGAGCTTCAAGGGGATAAAGCTTGCTGACCTTTGAGAGAAGCAACAACACTTGAGGTGGTTCACGACAGTTCACAACAACTTTCGGCTTGGGAGTCTTCTTCCTCCTTTGTTGCTTGTTATTTCTTCCGTCTTTATTTTTTAAATGAATTGTATTGAACTAATGATATTGGATGTTTTTCACCCAATCATGAACTAATTTAAGTTGGTTTGGGTTTATTTTGGATGACCATATTTTTGCTTTAATGAATGTTACATCATTTCCAATTTATATGTATGCTTTGTTCATTGGTTTATCGCTTAGATTTGTAAGAGCTTTTGAGAGTTATCCTTTATTTATGTTTAATGCTTGATATTAAGAGAGTTGAGCTTAGATCTACGTGAACAATGGAGTGGAGCTAGGTAGTAAAACTCTAACTCACCTTAGAGATAAGGATAGAGTTTCAACAACTAAAAAGAGTAAATCTTATTCAATAGTATGTGCTAGGGATCACGCTAATAGATATTGTCGTAGCATTTTCAGTGTCAAGTTTCTTACTAGAGATAACTTAGAAACAACTTAGATAACTTAGAAACAACTTAGAAAACTTTGTCGAGCATTGTATTAACTAGAAATCATTAATTTTCATTAAGGGCAAGATATAATATTCCAAGATAAACCTAGCCATTTAGCCTTATTGAGAGTTTCGTACGTGTGAGGTTAGACCGTTGTCTTATCTTGTGCACCATTTCTCATCACACAATTTTGCCAAAGCACTTATTATTTTACTTTTTGCTACATCATTTCACCTATGTCAACTTTGCCACAACATTTCCAACAATTGTTCATACCATTTTATATTTTAGGTGCTAAAACTTTATTTGAATTCCTCTCTAATCCTTATGGAGATGATACTCACTCATCATTTTATGTGAAGACGATACTCACTCATCACTTTATTACTTATTCGACGTGTATATTTGCACAGTTTACGTATCAAGTTTCGTACACTCACACATGCAACAATAAACTACATATTTAGTTATTCATCTATTCTTATAATTTTATTATTATTTTTTAAAAGCATATTTAATGTTACATTTTTATTTTGATTTGGTCACTCTTCGCTAAAAGAAATAAACATAATTGTTGATGTGATAATTTTTTTTCAATGAGGATGTGACATTATTTTATGGTGATACGCCAACGTCAATATTAAATATTTTTTAACGGTAGGTGACCAAAACAGATTAAAATATAAAATTTTAGAAAAATAGTTAAATGACCAAAACAAAATCAAAACATAGATTTTGGAAAAAAATAGTCAATGATCAAAGTAAAACTAAGAAAATAGGTGGATGACTAAATACAAAATTTACCCTAGATATGTTAATAAATCTAGTTGCACGGTTCTTATCACTGGTGACCACAAATTCTTGAAGATGAAAATCAATTTATCCACACTCCCGTTCACTTACTTGAAGCCACGTGAAATGAAAACAAGAGAAGGCTCTAAGTGTCATAGTGTTATCCAACCGCTAAGGTCTTAGTGGTGTTTGATTGGCATGAATCACTTGAAATTAGAGGGAATTGGAATTTAATTCCATCACTTTTTCATGTTTGGTTCAAGTTTGTTAGGGGAATTGGAATCTCTTGTAGCTTCAGCTTTCCATCAAATGAGGGAAAGTGAATTTCATCCAAGAATGGATGGAATTCAATTCCCTTGTTGGAAGGAATTGAATTTGACCAAACTATCATCATCAATCTTTTGGTAACTTATTCATATATTGAATAAAAATATTTTTTTATTATTTCGGGTCGGGTCGGGTTTCTAATTCATATATTCGGGTCGGGTCGGGTCGGGTGAAACTTTATTTTGGTCGGGTCGGGTTGGTTTTTTAAGTATGATATTCGGGTCGGGTCGAGTTCGGATTTAGGATGAAAAATACTCGACCCAAAAATATATATAATTTTACCTTATATATTTAGGAATAATTACAATAATACCCCTATATATATAATTTTTTTCAATTAAG